CAAAAAGTATTTATTAGTTCCTGAAAAACACTCAACAATTGTTAGTTCTGCACTGCATCTTTCCTGTTAGTAAATACGTGTACGTGCTCTTCTTGCTCCCGGGGAATAATGAGCAAACGTTTGACTATAAAGACTTCCATTTCGATGTCAATTATGAAGTTGCCAGAGTTTTTCTCTATTTTTGTATATTAAATGTATTCAGAGCAGTTGTACCACAGTAGGAATGCATGCAGAATTAAATTGCATAAGATTATATTTTTGCTTATTTTTTTGTCAAGTTGGAAAAATTGTCAAATCATTTGCACTGTCAATGTAATAAAGTCTCACAGTGATGCTTAACCCTAACAGTCCAAAATTCTCCAATTTCAATACGATTTTATATACACCCTAGGGAGTTAGGGTTAAACAGTGATTGTGTCCACTCTAGTCTTTGTTCGTTTGTTTGTTTTTTGGTCTCTGATTGGTGTCCTTATTCCTTTTAGCAGAAAGATTCGATTTCCTGTAAAACTCACTGATGGCTAAATTCGGTTTGCTCAGAGCAACTCTGAGAGAAAGAAACACGAATTTAACTGGTAAGAAACATTGAAAAGGGGAAGACAGAGCTATGATGGATAAAAAAAAATTGTCTTTCATCAAAAGTCGGTAGGCGTGTATCTAGGAGAATTTAGGAGGTCTAACCCTCCCGCATCGGACAAAAAAAGATTAAAAAAATAAGAACTAAAGTGCACCAATATCATTGTAAACAATGTATGGCATGTAAAATATTTCAGCATTGTTTGCCCTTGTCCGCAAAAAGAGACATTAAAAAAGCTCTGCCCCCCCCCCCTCAAAAATTCCTGGATCCGGCCTTGGTCGGGTTGGTTTATCCTGTGGTTTATCCAACGGTGCGAAGAAATTCTTATATTTAGGTATAGCGCCCTCTGTTGAAATTTTTCTGCGCCCACGAATTTACGTCACTTTTTACAGGGGTCATAAATAATGAAGTTAGTCTTTTTTGCAGTCGATTCGTGATATTTAAGATCATTCACTTGTGACGACGAGATTATCGCGCACCGATGAAGAAGAATTGCTATATTTTTAAATATCATATTCCACTTAAAGGGCAGTTAACATGTTTCATTGATATTTCATATTTCTCGTTTTCGAGGACAAACCATGAACAAACTTGTGATGATCTGTAAAGTCTAAACCTGCTCGTAATACGTCTATAAGTGCTTCATTCGTTCGTCTCCTGCCTCGACCAGTGGTCCCATATTTTTCTAGTTTTCTCCCCTTTTCACGTATTAAAGATTTGTAACTCGTGACAGGTGAAAGGATGAGGCTCTTCTGAAGGCAGAGGTAAGAGCTTATTTCAAAATCGGTTTCCAGACGCTAACAGATCTATGATACATAAAAATGATGTTTGTTTGCTTAGACATGCAAGAGCTGAGCATGCCCAAGCGGCCAGCCCACACCGCACCACATGTACATGTACATTAGTCATTAGGACAACATGGTAATCCCGCCTCTTTGATGCGTATGATCACGGAGGTCATCGTGACGGGTGTCGTAAAGAAATATTTTTCAATGCCATCCACTTGTTCCTTTCAAAGTTTCATTCAACTGAATGCATTTCATTCTCTGTTTGCATGGTTTGTGGCCCACATTCATAACATTTACATGAGTACATTGTATGAATGCTAATAATAATAGCCCAGTGGCTGTTGTTATGGCAGCCGTAACGCATCTTTCACTTCTATCGTTACGGCAACTGTGCAAGCGTACCAACTTAAGCGCAGATTTCGGATTTATTTCCCTTAAAAAATAATCCCCCAAAGCCTCCGATGAGAAAAGAAAAAAAGATTCCTGCTTAGGCCTATTAGAAACCAACAGTAGTCCAAGTGCGGATTCGAACCCACACATCAGGGGTTCCAGACCTTTCACCTTGAGCACCCGGTCACAAGCATTCAGCGATCCAGGTAATTTTAAAATACATAAAGCGTTGTGATGATCACATCGCTAATTTTGCTACTGATTGTCAAGTCAGATTGGTTTTTACGGTAGTCAATGACAGTGGAATAGTCCCCAAACATGAGGCACTTCCATGTTTTCTTCGACTTTCTCTTGTAATGTTGTCAAACCTCTCTTGAAATATTCAGTTTCAGTCAGTTGTGACTTTTGACATGTTCATGCTGTTGAACTTTTGTGAAGAATGTCAGTGTAATTAAAGTTTTCAGTTCTAATTCCAAAATCTTGGACGTCCAGAAATTGGATGCAAATTTGGCTGAGTGTATCCTAGCGTGGAGAATTTGAATAAATCTCAGAAAACTCCACATTAACATTTAGGAATTTCTTCAAAGTTGATCAATTCTAATAAATCATTAATACCCCCACTAGCACACTCAACCACAAGTTGGTGAGAAAACTGTTGCATGGTTTTGGGCTGCATTGAAAAAGATTTCAGTTTGCATTTTAAAAAAGGGGGAGGGAATCAAGCCGAAATACAATTTCATTGGAACTTTGCAACAGGTTCATAAACCTGAGATATATACATGTATGAACAGGAGTCTTTAGAGAGCTTGGTGAAATTTCTCGTATTGTAAAATTCGAGGTAAAAATATTGCTTTTTGAAAGCACTAGAAGCCAAAAATCAAAGTGCGTTAGTTTTGTTACGCCATGCTACATGTAGGTATCAAAAACACATGCATTATTGAATCGCACCTGAGTGAGGGCGGTCTCATCCTTGTAATGCTTAGGCATATCACAGAGATAAGTACATGTAACATGTAAGAATTTCGGGGCACATTTTGACAACTGTTATAATTTGTATGGTATATTGTCGCACTGTAGTGCAGTGTCCGTTTGACCGTGCTTACTTGTGATTTTTTACTTCAGTTACCCTGTCATTGTATCATCTCATACAGTGCTATCCTGTTATTATATTTGCACTGACTTGTATTTGGGAATATGTTGTTGTTTAAGAGATAAATGTCATTTGCTGCAGGCCTGTATATCTGTTTCCTGGATATTGAGAGGTTTTCGTCCACTTTAATTAAGGGACCGTTCCTCCCGCTTCTGACATGTGACTGGTCCGCTACGTTAGTTTATTTTCAAGATGGAAGTTTCTAGTCATTAATCTCTTGTGACTGCTGAAAAAAAGCCTTTATTTTCACAAATGTACATGAAAGTGAAGTGATTTACTGGACAGAAGATGCAATGGAATGATCCTGGATATGTAACCAGGCATGTTGCTTTCTGTCTGCAGGTGTAACCTACGGCAGTATCAGACTAGATCAGGATGATGGAAGAAACGGTTCTGACCGATGATTCTATGGATGACCAGTATGACCGACCCAAGACGCGTTGGGGACCAGTCGGAGCAGTAGCCAGTCCTCCTGCCTCAGTCATCTCAGCAGAAGACGGGTAATGTGCTTTTACAGTCTTAGCCCCTGGCATGTTTAACCCTAACACTCCTCAATCCTTCACCTGTTGGAGGACTGAGGAGTGTGAGGGTTAAATGACTTGGCTGTGGCTTACAATAATGCACAAGTCTGTGGGAAATGGCTGCAGCCACTAGCTAGTGGCTGTCAATAGTTATACATGCTTTTCTAGTCATAGCCAAGTAATTTGGACATGTCTTAGGCTAGCTGAGCAAATCAGTGAATCTTTTTATGCACACACAATTCCCTACCATTGCATGTAGTCATTCAACCAGCTGATCAGAAGCACCTACATGTACGGCCAGTGGGAGTTGCCACGCCCACCTCCAGAGATCTGCCCTTGGGGCTTCTGTCAATTGAAGAGGGTGCTGAAGAAAAGAATATTTTTGTCTGAATTTTCGTCAGGTAATTGTCTGACAGAGGCTACCATACCAGAACGAAGGGTTCAACTTGAAAATCATGCAATTTTTCCACAATTATAAATTTTTAACAGTGTTTAACAGAGTTTTAACAGTGTACATGCGGCATTTGACCTTAAACTTCTTTTTCACAATGTCGACTTATTTAAGTTTTGTTTAGCTGTCTTAAAGCTGTAGAAACTGATTTCAGGCAACTGAGAGATGGTAGGATTCTGAAAGGTATCAAAATGGCGCTGATCGCATTTTGGAAATGAACTCTTCATATATTCAAGCAGTGATGTCAGCTTCGTGATGCCTAGGCCCAAAATAACTGCCCAGGCACCCAGTAATATTGAACAGCTTTTGTTCGCAATAGTCAAAACCTTTGTCAACTCCCCAAATTTATGCAGTTTCTCAAAATTGACAGGTTGACTGAATAATTGATCACAGGCGACTGATGGACATTTACATATATTTAAACTGCAATTTTTATGCACAGTTTTATGACTTTAATTTCAAAGTCTCCATGAATTTCAAAATAATACTGATCTCTTCTTTGGCAGTAAGCATGGTAAGATGACTTGTCACTTTGCACCAATACTTGGAGAGATTTCTGGGGGTTTTTTTTAATTTATTTTTTTTTATTTTTCGGGGTAAATGCTCACATAAAGTACTGCCATTCTCTGTACTTGGAGCCGTGGGCGTTTGGTGCTTTTTGAGGACCAAACAGGATACTTGTAGCTCAGGTATCTGATGTACCGGAAGGGGGGTACATGTACACACTCAGCAGGGTTCCCCTGGGGTGCCGATATATTTGAGGTGGTCAGACAAACCTTGCCAAACTTCTTGGGCCTACATGTAAAACAAAAGTGAGTGGTTTCAAAAAGGCCTAGAAAAAAATTCTATGTATATGTAGTCTAATGGCACATTTACATGTACTTCGATTTCCCATCTCAAAAAATCAGTCTTGTATTGTGTGTCCGTCTTTACCATTCTGACAGATTTGTAACTGATCTACATGTGCATAGTATTTCAAAATATGTAAATTATTCTGCGTTTTCCTTCATCTTTGTCTAAGTGTAAGGAGGTAAAATTCAACAGAAATGCCTGAGGTGATCACTCAAATCAGTGAGGTGAGCTGCCTCATAGTTGAATAGACAGGAGAAACCCGGATGTACACGTACATGCGTATAGCTTTTCAGCAGGTGCAATGAATTGAAAGTGTAATTAGTGCTTTGTGCTGGGAAAATTAGGTTCTCCTATATGTACAGTACATTGCATTTTAGTGTAGTTTACGGAGTAATTAAAAAATTGTTTACACTGATGGAAGTAATTACTGGTAATAGGCCTACAATAACCCAGGACTTTGTTGAAGAAAAGAATTTAATTAGCCAGGGAAACTTCTTGTGATTGTACAGTGTACGTAATACACCTTTGAAAAGTCAGGGGAAATTGTGTTTAGGTTGTAAGTACATGTACATGTACATGCATTTAAATGTGAATATTGTATAGCGTTCTGGCACACAGTTCACCAGTGCATGGATCATGTACATCCACACTGTATTGGGATGTATCAAAACACAGGACCACTCTTGGCGTTCAGAGCTAAAATGCATAATATGTGCATTGAACCTTGACCACATGAAATGCAATCGTTTATTTATGCAGGCTGGAGAAGCCATATGGTTGAGATCCAAAGACCATAGTCTCTATTTATGGGGTCCGTGCGTGTCCGTCAGGATGTAATCTGTGGCTCCGACTTTATCGAAAAGGAAATATTGGACGTCTCTACAAAGAACATTGTACAGTCTGGACATTAAATGTACCGGTAAAGATGTGTAGTGTTGTGTTAATGTGCCCACCTGTACGTGAAGGTACCAGTGTATATTACTGACTGTGTTGGGAAAAACCATATGTCGTTATCTTGTTTGATGCAAGGAGGAGACACTGGACAGCAGAACTCGAACTGTGGAACTTGTTTCATGCGTGTGTTCATGTATGCCTTCTAGATGAGCTATTTCTGATCATACATAGTACATGTAGCTGGCAGATTGGATTCATCTGAAATGGCACCTGTATGTTAACATCTGCCAGACTAAAATCTGGGAGTGGAGTTGCAGGTGAAACATCAGCGTGTTACCCTAAGGAAGCCCTGAGGACCAAGGCTTTAGCGGGAAGGGTATCAAGGTAGCAGTTAGACACCCGGTTGCCCACTTTGGACGTCCATCTTGTACATGTACCAGCACATGAATGTCCACACGTTGTAAAAGTTACATGTATGTATGTATGTATGTGCACAGCAACTTGGACCCCGGTTTCAAATTTCAGCCAAATTATGGTTTCCCAGTTTTCAAATTCTGCTAAACGTGTGCTGAGGACACAGAAGATGGAGTTCAGCTGCGCACGCAGCGTACCCTTGGATCGTCCAAACGAGAAAGCATGTCTCACAATGTGATATTAACTGGACAGCATCAAACCGCACATGAACTGGTACAAAACAAAGCTTGTGGCTGTTGCAGACCCATGCAATACACTCATACCTGCCATGGTACAGGTGCACGTCTGCAACTTGGTGTTGGTAAAGCTCTGATACATCCTGTCTGCTGCTTAAAGTTTTCAATGCATTTGAGAGAAGTATTGCAGGAAAATAAAGAACTCTTCTGTCGTGAAAGCAGAGAAATCAAACTGTGATAATTAACTCTCGGTCACACACCAAACTTAAGATGAGACAACTGAGAAATACAGAGGTGAGATACTGGTAACCATGGCAACTCTGAATCAGCATACTGGAGGCATCAGTGAACTGGACAATTAGTCTTTTGAGTATCATGCCCAGGATAGCTATATCGCAATGCTGAGAACCATACCAGATGTCATACAGACCCAGCCCTGTGCTGGCAGGCTGGATGCCAGACCTTTTCAGGTTTGCCGGCTATACCTGACCAGCCAGTGGAGTAAGCAGGCATTCTCTAGTGACGTGTGAGTACATGGTACCGATAGTAAGCAGAAGATACCTGTGCCTACATGAATTACAGGTGACAAATGTACATTACATTGTTGCACGAAATGTAACCATAGGAGAATTAGCTTTCAGATTTCAGCTACACACCGGTACATACAGTGTACATGTATAGAACTCCCTAATATGACAAATACATGTATTTAAAATTTATACATGTGTTAATAACAGAAGTTAGGGGTCCATTTCTTGTGTAAGTCACTGTCACATCTGACATACATGTACATGTGTGATTGTGTAAGGTCAGAACACATTTTGTAATTTCCAAGAGTGATGAATCAATGCAAATTACATGTACCTGCCAAACAAATAGTAATAGTTTGAAATCAATTCTGGTGATATTTCCCTGTCAAATAACAAAGATCAGATATAACAGAGACACAAAAATGTCACACTTTTGGACCCTTAATCTCTGGAATTACCCATATACCGGGTATAACAATTCATGTATTTTACAATTCATTTCTGTGCACAGCTACCATTATGGGTATACCCGGCTCCCCTGTTTGTGGTGTCCAAGCTACGTGTATGAACACCATTTGAAAAAAAACGGATCTGCATTGTAAATCTGCGTTAAAATGTGCACACAAATCACCCAGCCAGCTTTTTGCCAACAAAAGAATAATTTTGCAAAGAGTTTTTCCACATTGCTCCTTTCATAGCAGTTTCTTTGTATGAACCAACAGTTGATCCATTGTTGTAGCTGTGATCTTACGGTATTTCACATGTACAGGTATTTTATCATAACTGGTAACAGTTTTCGACACATGTGCCCTCTGCCTTCTTTTTCAATGCATCGCTTGCCTGTCCGGCAATATGTGAAAGGACATGTGGTGAAGGAAAGTTACACATTGACAGCCAAGAGGAAACGGGCCTGGTAATCTGGAGATTAAAATCTGAATTGAGTTACTGGATCCCAGGCCATTTAAATAAAACTAGGAACAGCTGTCAAGATTCACAGGGCCTTCTTGCCTGGGCTTTGTTTTAAACCGGAGATGAGTGTGTTTAGGCTCCCAGCTATTGATTGAGGCCAGTGATATTTGTGTTCATGTGCACTTCACAATATCTCTCCCATCCCCATTTTCTTTTTTTTGTTTTCTTTTTTAAATGCATTACCGTCTAGTCTTCATTTTCATATTTTTATTTTTGTAATTACTTGTATGGTTCGGTAGAAAAATTTACACTGTTGTTGACATTGCATGTCAGCAGAATGTAAATGAGGTGTTTTTTATCAATTTCTTACTGCTATTATATTTTTTTCATCACCTGAGTAATTCATTCAGGGATAAGCGTGAACCGTACCCGCACTTTCTGTTCACTACAGTATCATATTCACCACGTACGTGTACATGAACACCTGTGATGCAATTACATACGGGCGCATACATGTATTTGTGTTTTGTCAGCTACGGTATATTATATACACATATAGTAACTTGATCAGAGGTGTCGTTTGAGATTGATACACGGCTGCTGTTACCACACTTCATGGTAGGTGGTCACAGACAGTGTTATACAATGTATGAAGAGAAAGTAGCGCCAACTTTAGACTTTCGAACCAAAATACAGTGTACATTGTAGCTGTTCATTACATGTGCAGCAGAGCGTGCAGCTATTGCGTGCTAATTGTCCATGAGCACTGATGCTTTTCACCATTTTGGTTCCAACAATTGAGACACTTACATGTACAGTGTATGTTGCAACTCTCTCTATATAAACAGTTCTGGTTACAGCTTCAGACAGCTTACCAAATACAGTACCGGTACATACATGTACCTGGTAAGAACATGCTTGAATATAAAACTGGTCTGTTATTACGATCACGGGCCAATTTTATAGAGCTGCTTACATGTAATCACAAAATTTTCTTAAATGTAAAAACTTTGCTTTATAAACAAAGGTTACCAGCTCAAACTCTGTGTGATTGTCATGTTAACCAAAAGAAACTTAATTACCATTCCAAATCAGTATGTATCACATGAGATTTTGGCCAGTATCCTGATTTGTCAAGCAAGATTTGTTCACACAATAGACAAATTTTTTATGCTTAAAAGCAGCTCCAGTTTCCAACCGGTACCTCTGATTATGAAGCATTTTATGGTTTACATAAAATACCAATGCATGTGTCCCATGTATCCTCTGTCATGGGGCAGCCATCTTGCTCTTGTACCATTCAAAGCAATGTAACCAAACTGAAGCTGGAAAGAAAAATAGTCTGTTTTCTTTTATAAATATGTGAACTTGTATTACTATTGCTGATAGATCTACAGGGAACAAGACAAACATGGCATCATCACAATAAAGGTCTATGCCAGTACACAAATGTCTCTCTGAATTTCTGAAATGAATTCTGGGATATGACTGGATTTAACAAATGAATCATTTATTTCAGAACTTGAATCTCCAAACCCATGGGGTAGCTTAATTGACACTGGAGATGATGTCACACAAACTGACCCATATGTTGTGGTAATCACTCATCCTTTATAGGATGTGTTTTTTGCAGTCATGTGACCATGGTAGAGCAGCTGCAACATCTAGAAGAAGAACAGGAACAGCTGAACTCGTCGCTGCTCGCCTTGACGACACACTTTGCCCAGGTTCAGTTCCGACTCAAGCAGATCGTCAATGCGCCCATCGATGAAAAAGAGGTAAGCCACTTATTGTCTGTTCAAGCAGAGAGACAAATAAAGACCTTTTGACTTTGCTGAGTTTCTCCCAGGCGACCGACCACCTCATGCCAGAGGATGTCGAAACAAGATCTAGCAGTTTGTGTTCGCCTCGAGCAGGAGCACCCCCTCATCAGTTGAAAAAAGCCATGCTGGTAGGGAGTGGTCATTTTGTTCATAGCAACTAGCGACGGGCACGCAGTACATGTTTTTCGTAGTCATTTGTGAACCAGCGCATTTCAGTTCCCACCAAAGGAGAGTCCGTCGCTAGGAAAATAGCACCCTCTATTTGTTCCACTCAGGGCCGATACACACAACTCACCGCACTCTATTGCAGGCTAACTCCCCGGGATTGTGCGCCGGGATGTTGAAACGTGCAAGGCTGCAGTAAGAAATGTGATACAAATACTGTTCAAATGACTCTTAGAAATCAGTATTGGTGGTGTCTGGGTGTATGGAAAGTTGGCAAGCAGTTAAGTACACATTTTAAAGGGCTGACAAGGCCATTGAACATTTTGTACATGTACCGCTATATAGCAATGACTATGCCATCACTATTGTTGCATCAGCTGCATTATATTGCATGGCATGTTGACCAAAACACGGAGATACATGTAGACCTACCCAAATTGACTCACATTAGGATCGGTGAATGCAGACTGGTGTTATCTAAATGAGTCAGCTTGGCCTTCCAACAGCGCATGCTTAGAATGAAGTGCATTGGAGGGCATCAGGAACAGCGATACTCACATGAGTTCATCCTAATCAGCACAGCTGTATTCGAGTTTCCGACTCGCGCGTCCTGAACATGGTCACGTTCGTGTGCTGTGTTCTCCAGTAAAGTTCTGCCTTTTTGAATCACTGAAGTGGGTCATTGTAGAGATTTGTAGCCGTAATCCACCTGCGTTTCCATAGTTACAGTTCTGTGTTCTGTCTTATTCTGTTCAGAATCTACTGAAAGATCTTGAGGAGTTTGCATTCAAAGGCTGTCCAGACGTCAGAGGATGTCGCTCACAAGATGCTCAGATGCTGGAAGATGCAGTAAGTCTCTTGGGTTAGCCACGGATTCTAATCTTGATTGGCCAGGAGCATGCCATGTGGAGTGTGCTGCTATATACATTTGTTGTCGTGCAGAAAAAGTGCTTCCCAAAAGCACTGTGGACTAGCCTGAGTTGACATTTGAGCTGAGCCATTGACCTTTGACCTAAGTCGTTGATCTTTGGCCATAGTTTTTTATCTTTGGCCTTAGTTGTTGGCACTCCGGCTTGAGTTGTTGACCTTTGACCTGAGTTGTTGACCTTTGGCCTGAGTTGTTGACCTTTGACCCCACCTAACAGAGTGAGAAGGAGCATGAGAGTCGTATCAGCCAGCAGCGAGAGAAGCAAATGGAGTTGATCAGTCAGCTTAAAAGTCAGCTGGATGACCTGGAGCAGTTTGCTTATGAGGTAGGCTTTGTAGTAAACTAATTCTGAATGGGTCTAACAAAGTGAGTCATAATCTACCGGTATTTTGTACTCATGGGACATTCATGCATCAACAGGAACGTTTCACTTTGTGTGTCGACTGTTGTGAGGTAGCATACTCTAGCAAAAACAGTAAATTTGCTTTTTCTCAAATGTGTTTGAAAGAATATATATCAAGTTCTTTCTTTTGAAATATGACTCAATTTGGTGTCCTGTCATAGATACAGACATTATGTTGGATAAAGAAATAAAACTTACTGTATCTTTCTGCACTGCAAGATTTGACAGAAGACTTGAAACCCCTAAAGTAATTCTAGCAACTAATGTCTTATTTTGTTGGGTTGAGCCACAGGTAGCTGCTCTCTGATGCCATGCTATGACAAGGAGAAATATTTATTTACAGGGCAGAAACTGTGTTCTTGAAAGGAATAAGGCAATATATCCTTAAAGGGCACTTGTATTAGAAAATCAACTTGTCTGTGGGGACAATTCAATTGGCATTGAGGCAAAGACCAGGGCCATCAAGGCAATTGCCTCTGATGCCTCCTGTGAAGTTCTTGCCGTGCGTATGTCTTTTTTGGACACCTGATTGCAACGTTTGTCTCGCCAACCAATTTCTAGGAAGGAAGTGGAGAGTTGCCTCAGAACATGGTCCTGGAGAAACAAAACGTCATCATCGAAGAGCTGAAGAAGAAACTAGACTTGAACATCGGCGATATGGACAAACTGACGACAGACGACTTGAGGCAACTCGTTGACAGTGCAATCGGCAGGGTATGTAGTTTTCTTTGGTTCGTCATCATTTGTCCTGTATCTTTTTATCAAATTTTTGTTCCATCAGCACACAGACTTTTTTAGGATCTCCGTTCAGATCTTTTCTGTGATTATACCACTATGTTGACATGAGAATCGTAATGTTTTCCAAACCAAAACTTACCTGAACAACAGTGAGCAAAGGCAAAGACAGCAGATTAGATCATTGTTTACCCTAGATGTTTTATTTAGCCGGAGTTGCTCCATACGAATTTAGAACACCGAGATCAGTTTTCCTCTAATGTTTGTTGCCGATAGATCGTGAATCCCGCCAAGGTAAAGGAGACGGTCATCAATCAGCTCAAGAATCAAATCGGTGATCTAGAGAGATTCATCTCCTTTCTCCAGGGAGAGCCGTCCACACCAGGCACGACCGCCCCCGACAGCTGCTCCTGCCCTGTCCATGCCAAGGTCAGTCCACCTGTTCCATTCACTGATGCTTTGTTTACCCCCGTTTTTCGTGTGGCCTGTATTACCAACAGGGGGTCATTCCCCTTCCCCTTCCCCGGCCCCCCAAAAAAGGAAAGGAGCGTCATTTTTTTGACATAGCGAAAAACCACATTTTTTGGTGTGTTTCATTTCCTTTTCAAAAAGTGTGTAAAATGCCCCTAAATATAGACTCACCCCTTGAAAAGGCCTCTAAAGGTCACATGGACAAAGTCCCATTTTTTGCCCCCCTCAAAAAAATAAATTAGGTTCTGGCTCTGTCCTTACTATTACAAGGTGTAAAAAGGCCAAACAAGGTTACGCTAAGGAGAAATTGAGAGACAAAAAAAGGGAACAAGCCCACAAAATAAAATCAGTATTAATCTCTGTGTTGTTTGATTATTTAAAGCTGTCTTTGGCAATGCAACTTCATTGTGAAAGCTGCATGTTTACATTACGCTCAATCTAGGATGGGTTGCAGGTGCATGAGATAACTGGACGGAGCCTTGAAATTCCAAAGTAATGCAGTACAGTGTATGCCAGAAGAAACTTGGAGTGTACATCTTGAAAGTAACTTTGGCATTGTTCATCCAGTGGTACCCGTGGGTTTTACCCAGAATATTCCTCTGGGGTTTTCCTCCCACCTCTAAAACTGTAACTGCTTCTTACTGTCTCCCCTTTACTGATGTTGGTGAATGTGGGTCGTTTGGCGGCTGCCTGAGGCGCCCTTGTATGCCATCAGCTCAACCATGTTTAAATGTATTCATTGTTCCACACTTAATGTCTTCATTGTACAGTGCATTTGAACATATCTATATGAAATTTGCACTTTATAAATGAATAAATTATTATTATTATTATTACCTGATATGATTATGGGAAACGACCAATGAAATACCTGTACCTGAGTAGTTAAGTTTGCGCAGTGAGTTAGTAGTGTTAAAAGACATTGACGACTGTCTGGTGCAGGACGATACCATTTCTGAGGCAGACTCAGAGACTCCAGATTGCTGTGTCCATCCCAAGGCAGACAAGATTGGAAGTAAACAGAGCACAGCTGAGAGAATTAAGGTCAGTACACACTCCGGGTCATGCTGCGTAGAACCAGTGATTCATGGCTTGTAGCCTCAAGTCAAGAAGAGATCGGTAGACCTTCTGTGTCATGCCACATAGAACCAACGATTCATAGTTTGCAGCCGCAAGTAGACTGGATTTAGTTTGGGACATCCTCAAAGATAGATCGCAAATTTCTGTACAAAGTATTTTAATAATCCCTTGCGATTTTGCACGTTGTTCCATGAGCTCTTTGGGTCTACACCTTCCCACTGTAAAATCTTCATCAGTTCAACAGCTCCATCCAAATAACTTCCATCATATCCCATCTCATCTTGTCAGAACATGCGTGAGAACCATATCTCCTCCATGAGGAAAGCCTTGGCCTTGCTGCAGTACATGGCAATCACGCAGCTGGGATGTGGCACTGACAAGCTCAAAGAGAAGAAAGCCGCCAAGCCAGACCCCACAGAGGATTATCGGTAAGGAATTGGTCTTCACACCTAACCACCTTAGCTTGCTTGCTGGGCACCATCCTCAATCCTTCAAAATCCTCCAATATTTCTTGAATAGGCGCCTTTGAAGGGTGCTGTCTGCCTCAATCCTTCAGAACCCTCCAGCAATTCCTGTCATTATGTTGATGCAGTGCAAATGGTGCCTTGGAGCAGTTTGGAGGATTTCATGTAAATTGCGGGCCTGAAAGTATGCATGACTGAGCATAAACAACGCAAGGTCTAACCCACAACCTTGAGACAATGCATCCTTCACAGTCAGCAGTGCAATTTTGCCATGCAGCCTCAATCCTCCAAACTCCACCAAAACCACCCAGAGCATTTTGGAGGATTTTGGAGGACTGGCGGGGGTTAGGGTTACCAGAATACTCACTGGAAAGAATTTAAGAAAAAGGATTCGTGACCTGCCACCTCACTGGTACCTGTATATGAGCTAAACAGATCCAAAACCCACTTTACATCGTAGATCTACGTAAAAACAGTCAACAGTGTATGCAGTGTTGGAATAGAGCAGATTTCCCAATGCAGATTTTGTCTTTTTCTTGAAGAAGTCAGTGCAGTTTCTATTGATTCTTCATTTTTTTTTATTCAGAGAGCTGCTGAAGGTCCTAGATGCTGCTGTCAATCATGTGATCATGTTGGCACGGCAACAGCAAGAAATGCCTGCCGAGGATAGCGACTACACTAGCGATTCATCAGATGTAAGTAGACATTGGGCATTGTCTTTCAACGCGCAAGAACAAACCAAGAATTGGATTGGTAACCAGAAATTCAAATCAGCTTTCTTCCAACTTGAATATATTTCAGTGTAACGTCATTCTGCCAACAGTAACTTATTCTCCTTGACCTCTTGAAGTGTCATAAAAAAATGCAACGACTGATTACCAAAAGGACCCAAATACTGTCAGGTACATGAGTATTTACCCAAGTAAGACAATTCTCAGGAAGCAATTATTAATAGTCATAAGACAAACATTGACCCTTTCATGGTTTAACAGCACAGCTGTGCACAAATGTCCGCGGCCACTCCTGTGCATGTGTTCTCTATGTGGAACACAAACATGCACGGGTTCAGCGTGTACA